TTCTAGGTAATCACACATCCTGTCATGAACACAGCTACAGGTGATACCTTTGTTATCATGTTACTCTGATACTGGAAGAGGACATTCAGGATTTTTCCAACAAAAGGCAATTATTTCACTCTGTAAAATTCACCTTTGTATCATTTGCAAGCATGTGTTTATAGAAAAATCGACATCAAACTTCAATAGCTGTTGCACGATGCAAATCAGCCACAATAGAAGAAAATAAAACGTATTTTCATGGTTTTCATCTCACCTTAAATGCCATATGTTCCAGGAAATGTGCTGTGCCATTATTTCTGGCGTTCTCGTAGCGACTGCCCGCATCTATCCAGAGGCCCACCTGGAAAAAAACAGAGAATAAATGAAGCTTGCCTTCTGCTTTAACCAATGTTGTGAACTAGAGATCACTTTTTAAATGTCCACTTTACTTGGTCTTATCACAATCTCTAATGTCATATATGTGAAACACCCTTGGGGCTGCATGTATGTATAGCATTTATGCTAAGATAAATAAATAAGTTCAGTTTAACTTAAGTTTTTTGTCAATTTGCTAAACTAAGATACTTGAGTCTTGAATTGTCTGATGATTGCTTGACAAGACAGGGTCCAAAAGAGTGTGTGTGTGTGTGTGTGTGTGTGTGTGTGTGTGTGTGTGTGTGTGTGTGTGTGTGTGTGTGTGTGTGTGTGTCAATGTGGGGGTATGTGTGGCCTAGCATTAATTTATTATACTTCTGGGGACCTAAATCTGTTTACAGTCACTCGCCTCCCTTGTGGGGACATAATGGAGGTCACCATGAGGGGGATCATTGATTTTAGGGTGAGACTTGGTTAGGGTTAGGCATGTGTTGGTTAGGGTTAAGGTTAGGATAAGTCTCCAGGAAATGCATGTAAGTCAATGTAATGTCCCCTGAAGTGATGTATACACGGTGTGTGTGTGTGTGTGTGTGTGTGTGTGTGTGTGTGTGTGTGTGTGTGTGTGTGTGTGTGTGTGTGTGTGTGTGTGTGTGTGTGTGTGAACTTACTGTGCAGGTGGTGAGCCCAGCGTCCTCTGAAGACACTCTGAGTCCGTTTTCTAGAGTTGTCACCTTAGTTTCAGGAACATTGAGAGCCACTTGTTGAGCAGCCTGGGTCGATAACAGTCTGTGAGACCCAGGTGTGAGCTGCAGGTGAAGAAAACACACAAATGAATGCGATGTACATGATACTACTAAAAGAAAAGTCTATTGTTTATTAGGAACAAACAAACAACCAATCTTCCTGCAGAAAGGACTCAAGACTACGTGCACCATCTCATCATTCCTTGTTGTATGAAGCTGTGTTGCAAAAACAATCCCACATATGTTATTAACCAGTGTCATAGCTTGAAAAGGTCAAATTCACCAACTAAAATAGAGTTTTAAACACTAAGACAGCCATAGGTTCAAATTGAGTTCAAGTGGTTGTAATAGTCCTTCTACACTGAAGCAGTCATGATTATACAAACACTGTTTTTTATATATTTACTGTTGTACCTTCTATGTATTAATACCTCTAAATGTGTGTATATGTGTCCATTTATGAGTATGTAGATGTGTATAGGTATATTTAAGTGGGGGTAAAGGTGTGTATGTATGTATATAAGTCGAAACTGAATTTCCTGTCTGTATTACACAAATAGAGGAATTGACAATACATTTGACTTTGAAGGGTATACTAGGGTTGTACTAAAATGTCCAATACATTAACAGCTTATCATGATTACACTGCAGATTTAGGACAGTGGCATCATATGTTACAACCCACCCGTTATTGATAATGAATTTAAATGACCTATGTTTACGTTTAAATGAAATGATACTTCACATATTACCAGAACTTGAATTGCCTTATGTAAGCTACCAGAGACTTTAACTGTCAGCAAACACTGAGCGCTTTTCCTCAGTTAGACTGTCATTTTGACATCTGGAGAGAAGGTATAATAACCAAAACACCACCATAAACACAATCTTCTTACCCTGTTTGAAGAAAATGTCTTCAGTAAATTCCTTTGAAGGAGATTTCTCCCAGCAGACGTGAGGCGCTGTAAGGACGCCGCCATATTGTTTGTTTGTCACACTGCGCATGCGTCGCGTTCAATCACGCAATCTTACGCTACATCCGTCGTTAAGGAGCAGAGGATTTCATTTAAAGGAACAAAACAGAATTGTTGCGAACATTAAAACGTTTTTTTCAAATAAATAGGCAAGTCTCTAGAGTCCATATGATCAAGAGCTCCTTAAATCTTCCAAATCGTCCCAAAATGTATCAAAACAGCCTACAGAACTGCGTTTTTTCAAATAATTACAGAGGCTTTTCCGTTTAAATTGAGTATTAGTTCTAGGCTCCGTCAAAAAGTATAATTTTGTTTGCTTTTCTGATTATATTAAATATGATTTACTGTTAAAATAGTCACATTCTTTCTTACTTTTGTTTTCCATCGTTCAGTTTATTTTGAAAGGATCTGTCAGTTGGGACCCGGAAATGGACTTTTCTTCTCGCGCGAATCTCTTCAGAAATCTCAAGTTTGTCTTCTGGTTGTCAACGTTCTTCATAGCTCTCTATAGTGAGTATTAGAGACAAAACAACGGTTAAAATACAACTTCATGCAGAGCAGAGAGACCACTACGGAGTCGGATATTTGAAGGTATTTCAGCATTAACAAAAACCTTGTTTCTCTTCTCTGCCTGTGGTTTAATACCAAGATAGTATCGCTAGCTGCTAATGTTGTGTTAGCTCTGGTTGCTAATGTTGTGTTAGCTCTTGTTGCTAATGCGTAGCCCTAACGTTGGCTGATGCATTAAAACAGTGGGAGTTATTATTTATACAGAGGTGGAAGAAGTACTCAGATCTTGTACATGAGTAAAAGTAGAAGTACCAGAGTGTAGGAATACACTGTTACAGTAAAAGTCCTGCATTCAAAATGTTCCTCAAGTAAAAGTAGAAAAGTATTATCATCAAAATATAGTTGAAATACCGACAGTAAAAGTAGTCATTGTGCAGATTGGTCCATTTCAGAATAATATATATGATATGTTTTACAATGACTGATCATTAAAGTGTTCTCAAAGCTGGTAAAGGTGCAGCTAGTTTGAATGACTTTGTATACTGCAGGGTAGCTTGTGAATTTACTCCAGGTGGAACTAAAGTCTGATTTAACACTTGATTATATTTCACATCATTCAGCCAGATCTGTAAAGTAACTAAAGGTGTTAAATACATGTAGTGGAGTACAAGTACACCATTCACCTCTGAACTGTAGTGGGGTAGAAGTAGAAAGTAGCAACAAATTGAAATACTCAAGTTAAGCACAGTACTTGAGTAAATCTACTTAGTTACTTTACATCACTGATTATCTTTGGTGTGGCTTCCAGACAAGAAATGGCCGGTGGAAGGGATCTAATGGACGGTGACCTGGAAGATGGAGAGATTTCCGGATCTGGCTCGGATACTGAGATGGGAGCAGCCCAGGTTCCTGCAGCTTTTAGCGGGCAGTCCTTCCACAACAGAGCCGCTGTCCAGCCTTCTGCCGCCTCGTACAGAAGTGGAAATAAGCCGGTGTCCAGCGACAGTGACCAGGATTCTTCGGACGAGGATTCGGCCGTTTGGCGCCACAAACGCCTGAAAGCATCCAGCGACGCCCAGCCGCCGCCTTCCAGCACCACCACCACCCGACCAGAACCGACCCGAATGGACGTCCCAAACGCTCCAGGAGGCCGAAAAGTGAACAACATCTGGGGCTCTGTGGTGCAGGAGCAGTGCCAGGATGCCGTGGCTGCAGAGCTGGGCATATTTGGCATGGAAGGTGAATTCAGCATGTCCAGCAGGAATGTGGAGACGTATAACTTTGTCCTGGCTCGTAAGATAATGGACAAGGAGAGGGAGCTGGAGAAACTGGCGAATAAAGACGGAGAGGTGAACATGCTGGACACGGAGCTGGAGGACTACATGAAGGAGCGAGGATCAGAGGAGAAATCTGGAGGAGATACCAAGAGGAAGAGATCGGCGAAAGAGAGAATCGGCCCCCGAGCTGAAATGGACACTAAGGGTCGATATGTAGTCACAGAAGACGACCTCGAGGATCGGGTGACGGATGAGATAGCGTACAGGCTACGGGAGCCTAAAAAAGACCTAATAGAGCGCATCGTTAAAGTCATCGGGAATAAAAAGGCCATCGAACTGCTGGGAGAGACCGCCACGCTGGAGGAAAATGGCGGCGTGTTCACGATGGACGGCAGCAGGCGAAGGACGCCCGGCGGGGTTTATCTCTACCTCCTGAAGAACACACCGAGCATCAGCAAGGGCCAGATCAAGAAGATCTTCTTTGAGGAACAACACAACGACTGCAAGAGCAAGAAGGCGGCGCAGAAGAGGAGGAGGAACATGGTGGCGAAGAAGATGAAGCAAGCCATCGGCACGCTGAACCTGCAGGAGCACGACGATGTCTCCAGGGAAACGTTCGCCAGTGATACTAACGAGGCTTTGGAGTCACTGGAGGACGCTGGAGAAGAAGAGGAAGGTCAGGAGGAACGTGCTTCGGGCATCGAGGACACGGCGGTGGTCTACAACGCTGCAGATCTGGAGGTCTTCTGAGTGATGTGTGAACTCTGGGAGGTTTTGAGCAAGGACACAATACTAAAAGTGCTGTCTGCTGAATCTTAACATCTGAGTGATCTTTGTTTTGCTTCTACATTCAAACGAGAGCTTATGTTAACATCATAGATTTCACATAAACACAGAAGGACACAAGACAGGGGCTAAAAGAGAGACACACACACACACACACACACACACACACACACACACACACACACACACACACACAGGCAGTCTGAACTCTGGGAGTTTTCAACAAAAACATGTAGGAATTCAAATAACAACACGTCAATAAAAGCACTGAGTACAGAATCCAAACTGATCCTTTTTGTTGCTTTTACCTTCGAAGGAGAGCTAATGTTAACGTCATGGATTGATCGTTTTCAGCACAGAATGACTTTCCGCAATTTAGTGTGATTTGTGGTATAAATGTCATTGTTAATTTTTCAAAACGTCCCTTTTTTTTGTTGGAGAAACAGTAAAGCTCTTCTGTTTATTTTCTATCATATTATCTGTCTTTGTTTATACATTTAATTCGGATATAAGGGGTCTGGATTTACTAAATGAATTTGTGTGGAATATGAATAAAGGTGACTTGCAATTGCATTCTCTACTATTTTTTTAAATGTTGTTTACTTTATGAAAAATATATATGTGCTCTTCTCGATACGTATATATTCAGATAGAGTTTATTTATTTTAACATTCTTTAAAACATTACATTTAAAATACGATATCAACTCAACGTTTTTATTTCAGCATAATTGTCTTCAAATATGTAGCGAAAAATATCCAATCAAAATATAAATCGTACTTACAACCTTTAAAACAAACCACACAATCATATAACTGAACTCCATAATTGAAAAGGACTGCACATATTCTCCTTAGCAACGGTCTGTTATCCGAAGCAACGTTCTGTCAACAACCCCCGGAATGTCCAAATTGACCAATCAGAATTAAGTATTCAAAAAGGCGGTGTACAATAAGCAGGGAAGGTGTAATAAAATATAAATAGTTGAATAATAATAATAATGTTAAAGTTACTACATCTACGAAATTCTTACCATTCCTCCTCTTTTGGAACAATTCTAGTCCCTTTTCATTTGCCTTAAACCCCCAACAGTAATGTCCTATTTAAAGGTCCCATGGCCATTGCTACTGATCATAATTCCATTGTTGAGGTCTACTAAAATAAATGTATATTGTGCAATTTTCCAAAGTCTCATTGGTTTCTCACACAGCATCTCTGTATAGTATGTGTCTCTGTCACGCCTTGTTGGACCTCCTTTAAGAAATATAAATTGCAAGAATTCTGCATAATGTTGCCTCTTCAATACATGTTTTTATTCTTGCAGTTGCCAGATTGGACCGGTAGGTGGCAGCAAAGGTCTGATTATGGTGGTGGCTATAGCCTGAACTTTGTAGTACATTGCTTTACTTTACTAAATGTTTGACTTTCCTAACAAGTTATCAACACAGTCTTTCTCTCCTTTAGTTCTGGGCGTGTAGCATACAATGTACTTCTCTTTCTTTTAAAAACAGTGAGGATGAAAGCAGAATATAAACAAACAATAACAAGCTACAAAAGGTCAACAGAGTCTGGTAATTTCTCTGTTTTGTCACTACTGAGTACATTTATCTGATCTTTTTGGACGTATATATGTGAGAAAAATATGTTGATAAATGCAGCTTTAATGTTCAATGTGCCCCCGTTTAGTGACGTTTACCATCCACCATTATCTTCAGTATACAAATGCCCCCTGCTAAGGTGATATCAAAGTGAACTACGTGGCGCCTTGGAAATGATCGTTATCTCTCGGTTCATGCCTGCCACATGAAAGACCCAGGAAAAGCCTGTTGAATAATACCCACCATTTATGGTTATTTCCATATATGCCGTCTGTTTTCTCTGATAAGCCAGTACACTGTGTAGTTCATGCGGCAGTTAAACCATCTGATTAATGCCTGAAGTCGACTGTCACTGCTCATCTGTAGTGTGTATTGCATTCGACTCTCTGTCCACATGATGGCAAACAGACGTGTATTGTTTACTCTGCGATCAAAGCCAGATTATCAAAGAAATGTGAGCAGGAGGTGACATGTCTTGTCTCATTATTCATGGTGGAGTTTGTTGCATGCAGGCTCTGGTCTCAGGACCTCTGTATCTCTGTATCTCTGTATCTGTCACCTGGCAACGAACTTGTTGCCTGGATACAACATGCTGTTTCTTATTTCTATTGGATCAAACAGAACCAGGGTTGAAAGACTTGTCTCTTTGGGAGGTGCTGCATGATGTCAGCACTCACAGGGTCTCCATTTCCCCCATTTATGATGGCACTTCTTTGGGAGTTGTTTCCCATTAATTCTGGGGTTTATTTGGAAGTTTTCCTTATTCATTTTGGGGTTCCTTTGGGAGGTTTTCCCGATTTATTATGCACTTTCTTTAGGAGTATTTCCCTATTAATTCAGTTTTTTTTGTGTGGAAGTTTACCTATTAATTCTGGGGTTTCTTTGGGTGTATTTCCCTATTTATTATCTTTTTTTGTGGAAGTTTTCCCGATGTATTCTGGGGGTTCTTTGAGAGTTTTTCTCCATTTAATCTGGGGGTTCTTTGGAAGTCTTCCCCTATTCATTCTGGGGTTTCTTTGGGAGAATTTCCCCATTTATTATGCACTTTCTTTAGGAGTATTTCCCTATTTATTCTGGGGTTTATTTGGAAAGTTTCCCAATCATTCTGGGGTTTATTTGGAAGTCTTCCCTATTAATTCAGTTTTTGTTTTTTAAGTTTTCACAATTTTTTCTGGGGTTTCTTTAGGAGTATTTCCATATTAATTCTGGGGTTTCTTTGGACTAATTTTCCCATTTATTCTGGGGTTTATTTGTCAGAATTTATCTATTTATTCTGGGGTTTCTTCTGAAGTTTTCCCTAATAATTCTGGGGCTTCTACGTGAGTTTATATGGGATGAAACAGAACCAGGGTTGAAAGACCTGTCTCTCTGGGCAGTGCTGCGTGATGTCAGCATTCAGAGACAACACATAAAATGGCTGTGGATGTGCACGCAGAAGACAAACATTACTTTTGACGGACACCACGTTTCTTTGAGCAGCGTCTCCCCTCCGAGCCGTGTCACGGATCAACGTCTGGTATGTCACAAATCAAGACTTTTAGAGAAAGCTGTTCAAAGTCTTTTCTCTTCTCTGATGATGATGACGATGATGACACAAGCAGTAGTTAAATGTATTCTAAGTGTATCCGTGCACTCCCCGCTGACCCGTCAGAGCTAATCCTGGAGACAGAGAGGCAAGAGAGGCGACTTTAATTAGACAACCATGCACCGGGCAGAGAGACTCACTTTTTAAATGTGTCTTGCTATCACAGTGTCTCACATCAGATGTCTTCTCTGAACGACAGCTGGAGGAACGGCAGCAGTAAAGGTGCATTATGTAACATCATCTATGAGGACTACCGAGAACACAGTGACTCACCACTTTTACCAAAACAAAGGTGACCCAGTTTGGAGGAGAAAGGAGACGATGGATCACTTTGATTAATGTCAGCTCTGGAGATGATGTCACTTATATCCCAAAGACTTAATGTCAGTGAGGAACAGTTTGCACCTGGTTCATGCACAGCTCAGTAGGGATGTTAATAATTAAACGTGACCTATTGTTGTTACCTTTTTTGTTTTAAAAGCTATAAAAAAAAAAGCTTGACTTCACTGAATTAGTGGCTTTCAGTACGCGTTAGCCGGAGTTGTTGCTAACTTTGATGCTAACCTCCTTCTTTGTTTGAGTCTGGAGGAGATGCATTGATTCGCTGAAAATTAATCTGTACACACATTGAGAAAACCCAGACGTTATGGCAGGCAAACACACAGCTATATTCTTTGCAGTTTACCTGTTGATGCGGTGAAGCAAAGCGTGGGGTAAGATGTCAAATCACCTACTTTGATGGAAAGATGACAGTCTCTTTTTGGTTGTTAGAGTCCTTACTTCCTGTGTGTTTAAGTGTATATATTACAAAAATAACATTGAATGCATGACTCTCTGTGAACGTCTAGTCCACATTTCGTGACATTATGGTCATTATTTCTTGAAATACATGACAGACACAACCCCCTTTAGAGGAGACTACATTTAACTATTTTTGGTTAAAAGAAGAATCAAAACAATTGAAGAACGGACCATGAACTAGCTTCAGGAAGTCCTTATAGCCATGTTTGGTTCAATGCATGGTGTTTTTAGAGTCAACATAAATGCTCCTTTAAGAAATATATATCTTCCTATCTTACGTTTAACTTATTCAGCAGCCCAAAGGATTTGACAGTCTACTCAATTGAAGCGTGAAATTGACAAGAAGCCCCAAGTTTACATTTAGAAACATCTTTTCAAACCAAGCATGAAATTGCTGAGAGTGGCCAAGAAAAAAAGGACCCGGAAAATAATGATAATGTATTTTCTGACAGTGCTTATTAAATGAGCTGAAATAATGATAGATCCCTCAAAGTACTCAGTACAAAGTACATATTGACAGTATTGATGTTACAGATGCATTTGCATGAGATTTAATGATTTAAAACGTATCGAAAGCCATCATGAATCCAATGTTTTTTTTTACCCTCCACAAATATATTAAAGTAATATTAAAAAAGCATTCCTTGGGATTTTCTGATGGAGAAAACTAACTTTGTTGTCAATGTCCGAGGTTAAAATTTACCGCGGAATTATATGACTGCACATATTCTCCTTAGCAACGGTCTGTTCTCCTTAGCAACGGTCTGTTATCGAGAATTAACAACCTTCGGAATGTCCAAATTGACCAATCAGAATCGAGTACTCAATAAGCAGGGAAAAGTAGGTGTAATAAAATATAATATTGTCTAAATATAGCTCGGCTCCAATGCCACTGATTTCCTTTTCACATAACGCTTGATGAACCATAACTGAATTCGTTTTCATTGATGTTCCTCGTTCTTGACGTGGGTGGCCTTTTTTTTGTCGCTATTAAGCAGCCAACTATGCCAGCACTATTTATACGACTGTCTTCACATCCTTACAAAGCTTTAAGCGTATGACGTACTTCCAGCTCTTTTTCTGTTTCTCTCATCATTCAGAGAAACAGTGTTAAAGTAATTTGCTGTGACGTGGGCCAGCCTCCATTAACCAAATGTAAGTGGGTGGTTTTCAGTAGGTGTAGTTCAGTGGGCATTCACACTGTCTACATCAACAGAGTAATGTAGAGCAAGTGAACAGTTTTGGGTATCAGCATCACAAATAGCCAGTCAAAAATCACGTTAAGGTGTGTTCAATCAATCAATCAATGTTTATTTATATAGCCCAATATCACAAATGTCACACTTGTCTCAGTGGACTTCACAGTTTGTACAGAATATCAGTATGACAATACGACACCCTCTGTCCTTAGACCCTCACATCGTACAAGGAAACACTTCCAGAGAAAAACCCACAGTTTAAAGGGGAGCATGGGAGAAACCTCAGGGAGAGCAACAGAGGAGGGATCCCTCTCCCAGGACGGACAGACGTTCAATAGATGCCGTGTGTAAATTGAAAAGATAATACATTTACAACATAGGTGGACCAAA